CCACTGACCGGTCCGTCAGCGTCACCTCCCACTGACCGGTCCGTCAGTGTCACCTCCCACTGACCCAATCGTCAGTGTCACCTCCACTGACCCAATTGTCAGTATCATCTCCCACTGACCCAATTGTCAGTATCATCTCCCACTGACCCAATTGTCAGTATCACCTCCCACTGACTGGTCCGTCAGTATCACCTCGCACTGACCCAATCGTCAGTTTCACCTCCCACTGACCGGTCTGTCAGTATCAACTCCCACCGATCGGTCTGATGGCATCATCTCCCCATGAATAGTCCATTAGTCTGACTGTAATAGATCCCACTGACCAATCTGTCAGTGTTGGCTCCCACTGAGCAGTCCGTCAGTGTCAATTCCCACTTCAATAAGATGTCACATATAAGGTGATTGCACAACATAGGAACTGATGGTGTTGGGGTAATGTTTTGGGATGAACTGAGGATTTATTAACACACAGAAGACAGAGAGTGGGGGTTAATGGTCATTTTCAGGTTGAAATTTCATAACTAGTGGAGTGCCACAAGGATCAGTCCCAGGGCCCCAAGTATTTACTGTTCTATATTAATGACTTGGAAAAGGGGCAGAATGTAAATCCAAATTTGTTGGTAATATGAAAACCGGTTGGCGAGCATGTTATGATGAGGATGCAAGGAATCTGCAAGGGGATATAGATGGGATGATTGAGTGGGCAAAAACATCTACTGATGGAGTTTAATGTAGGAAAGTGTGAAGTCATGCACTTTGGGAGGAGGAAGTCTGGGTGGGAGGTGGATTTGAGGGAGACGTGATGATACTATGACTTTAAGAGGTGTATTTTGTCTTTGTTCTTTATGAAGAAAGGTTGAGACAGAAGTGAAAAGCTGTCTGCTTCAAAGCCAATAAAGTAAACTGCTTGTGAGGCCTTGGGTTTTTTAAAGTCGGAACAATAGAAGCAGCCTGAATGGGTGGGGTCAAGTTCCCATAGAACCAAGGGTTTTGTTTTAAGTGTGGAGCTGGAGGAGCACAGCAGGCGAGGCAGTATCAGAGGAGCAGGAAAGTTTTATGTTTTGGGTCGGGACCCTTCTCCAGCATCGGCAGTTCTTACAATCTGTTTTTTTTCAGTTTTAGCTTTCAGTAGCAATTGCTGGGGTCTTGAAGCTGGATATGGAAACTCTTATTCCTCTCTCTATTATAGCTAAAAGCTGGGGATCTCTTCCTGTTTCTAGAATTGCATATGAAACAATCTATTTTACTGAATTTGCCTTTGCCAAGGGTGTCTTTATGGGATGTTACTATACTGGAACAGTTAATTAGTATTAATCAATATACATTATTTTGTTGAGCAATTCGAAAATTACAGTTAAGCCAATTCTTTTACTTTTATTTTGTCTGTATTTTAACTATAGTGTATGAATAAGGCATGATTTGTTTCAAGCCTGGTAGTTTGACCTATAGAATTGCATCTGGAACATAACGCCTTAACTTGCCTTTAAATTAAGCAGTTAGGGTCTAGACTATCTTCTTGATATATTTTGAGGAGGATTGGTCTTGTCCATAACAGAGTGAATGTGGGAGGTGAGGGTGGGTTTGAGAAAGGTGAGTGTGGGATGTGAGGGTGGGCTTAACGGAGTGAGGTTAGGAGGTGAGGGTGGGCTTGATGGAATGAGGGTGGGTGCCGAGCATGGGTTTGAGGGTCTTGGTGGAAGTTTTTGTTTTGCAGTTTTTGTCTAGACTGCAGTGCGGAAGTAGTTGATATCTGGAGAAACTGATTTGAGGCCCCTCACACATTGAGTGTATGTACTGGTCAATGCTTATGTGAGTGTCTGTCTCACCTGTTTGTGAGATGGAATTCGAGTCAATCTTTGGGAGCTTGACATCATGTTGCTGACCAACCGGACATTACCTACGACAGCAATGAGATGGAAATGCTGTGAGAGCTCAAGGTTTTATTAGTTCCACACAAGAGACTGGTGCTGAGTTCAAGTGAAAGCCGCGAATGCTGCATTGGACACATGTTTAGAAAGTGACTAAGAGACTCAGTCCCTTTGGTTGGTTTATCTCTTTGGCTGAAGATATCAAAGCAGATTGGTTGTATTTGTCCGGTCAGCGGCCAGCCGACATGGGAGCGGGAGAGAGAGAGAGAATGTCTATGTGTGCGTGTGCTCTCTCTCCCTGTCTCACAGGTTAGGCAGATGAAGCCTAAATGGTGACAGGGGAATGGCCGTAAGGTTAACACAAGCCCATAAGCCTTCACAGAAGAGGCCACAGTCTAGGGGCAGTGTCACATCATTCCAGTGAACACAGTGCACCAGGGCAGATTTTTAAGCAATGGTCCCTAGTTCTTTATTCCTTCACAGGATGAAACATTCTCTCCACATCCATCTGATCAAGAATTCTCAGGCAATTGACAATATACTCCTCACGTTCACCAATCTAGCTAACCTGGGATTGATACCAGAGTGCCAGGTGGTGTACTCAGCTGTGTCTTCCACCAGGATCAACTGGGTCAAAGGTTCTGGACTCCATGGTGAGTGGCTTCCTTACTGGAGTAGTTACATGGGTTCAGCTGAAGCACCACCCATCTCCTCCAGCTGGGAATCTACGTTAGTCTGGCTGAGGAATCTGGCTGGAGAACTGGAAGGAGCTAGGGTCAAAGTCACCTAGGCTGCTGGACAGGCTTTTTTCACAAGAAGTCCAGAAGATGCTGGTTCATTTCTTCTGGGTCAAAAGGCAACACTGGGTCACGGCAGAGTTTTGGAGTCTCCCTATTGAGGACAGCAGTCAGTCACATGTGTGCCTCTGCACCCAGGTGGCAACTTTCTGCCTTCAGACCCTGCAGCAATACTTTATGTCGAACCTTCTCCTGGATGGTGCACCCTGGTGACGTATTTCTTCCACTGGAAGTGCGACCTCAATTATGACACACAGCTCCTGTTCACAGACCACGAGGGTCTTTAGGACCTGATCAATATCTGGAACATGGTTGACTCGCATCAAGCCTTCCCACCATCAGAAGTAGCAGCTATCATCAGAGAGCCATGACTCAGGAATCTGCACGTCCACCATTGAGTGGCTGGCAGAGGTGGCCACAGCTGTGGCTGCAGGGGTGACCAAGTTAGTGACGTGCTGCATGGCAGAGGTTGGGGTTTGGTGGCGGAAGCCTGGCTGGGTGGAGGGGACCTGGGCTGGGTGCTGAGAGGTGAAGGCCTGGATTGCGTGCTGGGTAGAATGGCCTGGGCTGGGTGCTGGGTAGAATGGCCTGGGCTGGGTGCTGGGTGGTGGGGGCCTGGGCTGGGTGCTGGGCAGAATGGCCGGGGCTGGGTGGTGGAAGGTGGGGGCTGGGGCTGGGTGCTGGATGGTGGAGGCTGGGGCTGGGTGCTGGA